CTCTCTCTCTCTCTCTCTCTCTCTCTCTCTCTCTCTCTCTCTCCCTCCCTCTCCCTCTCCCTCCACTCTTTCTCTTCGTAATGTTTCGTCTTCTCTCTCTACCTTGCTTTTATAACAAGGAAACCAAGGTAATGTAATGCGATGGTTTCCACAATTCTGTTGTCGATTGCTATTCAAAAATTAAATTATCAGATTACAGTTACTCAACAAGTAAAAATCTCGATAATCATTTCCTCTGTATCGAATCGAACGATGCTCCAAATTATTTAAATACGGAATCGAAAAATCTGTATAATCCCAATAAACTCGAAATTCGATGCACATGAATACAAAATTTCAACACAATCTCTAGCGCTGCGACGATAGAATCGTACGTGATGTGACGATAGATACCTACATTGTTACATTTCTGCGAAAGAGAATATGCGAACAATTTACATCGATGTGATTTATCTCTTCGCTTTTCTCTCGTTCCTACCTGCCAATCTTTCCTGTCTCACAGATATCAGTCAAACGCTCTTTTTCCGACAGATATCGATATTTCGGAAGGAACGCGCATCGATCGGCGCTTGTATTAAATCAGCAAAACTAAATTAGTACTTATAAGTAATTATAAATATTGCAAAGCATTTCGTGAATTTATTTTGAATCTCAAAGAGTCTATCGTTCAGTTAACTAATATATTTTCTTAGTACATATCAATTCTAATAGTGAATTCGGTCGCATTACCTTGGATTAGTGCACATTAACATTTTAGCTACTCTGTTTTTTTAAACTAATTTGATTCAGAAAAGCTAACTTACTTTGTTAAACAAAGCTTTATTTTAGTTTAATAAATATACAAAAATGAACAAAATTATGTTTCTTTATTAGATAAATATTTTTTATGTTTTTTTCAAAAATGGTACACACAGTTTTTTATAAAAGTTAATTGTGTACTTTTTTTGGTACACATAACAATAGTTAAAATAAGAAGACCTCTATATAAAGTATCTAAATGCAGTAGCATAATTAACTTTGCCAATTAAATAATACACACACACACACACACACACACACACACACACACACACACACACACACATATATATATATATTCTATTATAAATAATACAATATAACAATGTCATTATATTGAGCATAGAATCGTTCCAAATATTCATATATTACGCTTTTACATTTAACTTTACAAATTTCATGATTTCATGTATAGAGGAGCTTTTAAATTTATAATACAAGTGATCGAATTAGCTATAATCAATATGATGCACTTGGCACTGCGGATGTCTGTTTACGATGTCCCTCACGTATCCTTTATGATTCTAATTGACACCTAATACACATTCTATCAGTGATCGCATTCTTAAACATCGATCGATACTTCACAATAAGTGTCACGAGGGTCAATGATATCGTCGGAGCAACAGCTCTGTCTCTCGATTCTTGCGTCCGTCCCGGCTCGTTCGCTTTACCTGTTTCTTTCGTTCCAACCCTCTTTCCCTCCCCCATTCCGCGTCCTGCACCTTCGGATCGTAGCATTTCTCTCTTTCTCTCTCTCTCTCTCTCTCGCGCGCGCGCGGGCACTCTCGTTCTCCCTTTCTCCGCGATAGACCGGACCCGCGATCTCTCTCTTTCTCTCTTTATTTCTCCCCTTCCGCCACCTCTCTCGCGCGTGCGTGCGTGTGGGTGCGTGGATCGACGGTTGAATTGGTGAACGGACGAACGCGGACTTGCAGTCCGTTGCTCGCAGCTCGCAGTCGGCAGCTCGTTCTTCCTCAGTGCGTGCCTTACGCGGGCACCGTGAAGTACTCGTCTTAAAACCCATAGAGCTGTTACGTGGCACGCGCTCGTTGCGACAGAAGGAAAGAAAAAAAAATAGATAGAAGATCGACGGATACAATGGGAGGAAGAAAGAGTTGAATTTGAGGGGGGGGGAGGAACGAAGGAGAAAGACGACAAGGGAGAAAAACTTGGTGGAAAAAGAGGGAGAGAGATAGAGAGGGGAGGGGAGGGGACGGGGGGGACAAGTCGACAGAGAAGGAGAGTAAATAAGTGTGCGAGAGAAAGGGTACGGAGTAAAGAAAGAAGGAGAGGGAGAGGAAAAAAAACGAAAGGGGAGAGAGACGAGCGGATCGTCTCTCCAAGCGAATCGCCGGCGAAGGGGCGAGTATCTCTCGCGCGCGTCTCGCGAGTGCATCGCGTTTGAAATTTCGCGTCTCGCGTTGCATTTGAATAACAGCGATAAAGGTATAAAGAGAAAGCGAAAAAAAAAAAGGAACCGTCCCCCGATCGAATCCACGGGAAATCTTTTACTCCGAAGTTCCTATCGATGAGAACTCGGGGAACTGTTACCAACTGTGGTGGATCCGGAGTGAAGTAATTCTTTATTATATATTATCGATTTCGTTATCGATTGGCAGCCCTTCGTCCCTCAATTCGCGTTGCCGTGACTGCCGAATCCGGCCGAGGCGAGAAACAATAAAATTCATCGCGTCCGTCGACCGCGAGGCCTCGCCGGTGGCTCGCCGGTTGGTGTGAGTCACCCTCGTCCGACCCGGTTTCGTTATCGAGGTGAACGTGGCAAATGCGAATCGAAGCGAGAAAGGTCTCCCGCTCGGAGATCGAGCGCGCGAGTCGATCGATCGCGTCTCCGTTGACGCGTCGCGCCGTGCATTTGCGCCTGCGACGCGAGAAGTGGCTGCGAATCGCGTTATTTTTTAATCACGATGCTTGCCACGCTAGCCGGCGTGGATTTCTCGGGAGCTTTCAGCTTTGCGCCGGGAAAGAATTCTGAAACGGGATTCTGAGCGAGAGATGTAGAGAAGAAAAGAGCGAAAGAAAAATCTCTTTGAAAATCTGAGAAAAGAATCTGAATGAATCTCTTATCTCGATGAGAGAAGTTCGAGCGAACAGGATTTCTCAAGAGTGATTTTACTTGAGAAAGAAAGAGAGGGAGAGAGAGAGGGAAAGAGAGAGGGAACTTGTTAACATTCTAGAACTGTCCTCTAAGAACGAAACAAATTGAAATAAAAGTGATATAAAGGACAAAGAAAATTTACAATACAATTAAAAAAAATTAATTACAAAGAAGAAAGAAAACAATATATATGTATAAACGCGAAGAATATAGAGAAAATAAAATCAAATAAAATAAAAATAGAATACAAAATATGAGATAAGTATACAGATGACGAGAATTGAAGTATCACAAGTTGCATAGCTAAGTTTTACCTCGTCTCTGTAAAGAGAAAGAAAGAGAGGTTCGAGTTCAAGAACAGGAAAGGGAGCGGGTGGAGAAAGGGCGGGGATAGAGGGATCATAAAAGCGGTCATGCAACGCGGGAATGGTGACGAAAACTATATGCTCACTGTTGCGTCGCTACACGATTTTTATACGGTTCTCGAACAAGGTCATGCGCGCGAGTGGAATGACCGTGATTTAAACCCGTGAATTACAGCGCCCGCGTGCGTGCGTGCGTGCACGCGCACGCGTACGTGTCCGCGCCCGGTTCGACCGGGCGGGCGAGCGAGCGAGCGGCGACAGCGAGGGAAGGAAACCCGTTCGTTGTCTTTTCTTCCGATCCGACAAATGCCAGCTGCCCTCCGGTCCGCTTCGGTACGATTCGCCACGCGGACCTTCTGCGCTACGAACGTGATCACCTCTGGGCGTCCCACGAGTGACCCTAAGGTATGTATAAATAGAAATCGAAATGTGCGAACACGTACATACGTACGCGAACGGCGAGAGTGACTCTACTCTCGACAGTCTCGACTAGTCGCAGAGCATTGCGCGACTCGACCTCTCTCTAAGAATGACGCAAGAGAGAACAGTCGTTTTCTTTTTTCTCTCCCTGTAGAAAAAAAAACGTACGTCAGAAAGCGGTAGAAATTATTAACAATAATTTTTTATGCATTTTACGCCGCTATTCCAGAACCATATAATAAATTTTTTGCAGACAAAGAGCTTCGTTGATTATAAATTATCCTCTTTTCGATGAAATCGTGCATTGTGTGATCTTCTACGCTTTGTGCTGATCGGTTTCTGTAGTTTTATTTAAAAATAGAATTTAAAGTATACGGAGTAACGATATTAATAAAATAACCGTACAGCATAGAAGCTTGCAATAACACTGCTGCAATATTTATAATGTTACTGCAATATTGCTGGAGTGATCTCCTACGAGAAACTACTCATCTTCTTTAACTCTTCACTCGCGAATATTCAGAATATACAAATTCATTAAATATATGCTATTTATATTACACATTATTACATTTAGCGCTAATTGTTTCATAATTAAAAAAAATATTTTTGTGTTTATCTTTATCTAAAGAATGTATAGAATATTATCACAGTCTTTATTTAATTATAAATTACCAGAGAGAACAAAGAAAATTGAGATTTAATTTGGAGCGTCAGAAACAGCCCACGTGAATAATTACGTTTAAAAAAATTACGTGAGTAAGATTAAAAAGATCCAACGTTCGCTTAAATGTCGAACCCGAGATTACGTCTGTATTATTTTTTCACAATTATTAAACGGATGGTTGCGAAATTTTTTCGGTCTTAAAATATTTTTATTTTTATATATAATACGCAATTTCCGTAATATTTAATACAATACACGTTTCTTTCAAAGCGGCCTGTGGGAATTTCGATTATTTGCAATAAAGATATTGTGATGGAAAATTGCAAGAGTTACGACGTGCGTTCTTTCAAAGAAAAGAGAAAAAAATAACAAATTACGCACGCTTAAAAAGGAAATTGAATTTCCTGGGTTGCGTTTATACTTTTAACAACCAGATGTGTGCGCCGGTAAAGACGCTCGGAAGTGGTTGACCTTCGAGTGCCGCCTCGATGATCCTAAAGACTGATGAAATCCAACGCAGCGTATCTTTAAATTTTCACAGAGGCAATACACAATCTGTCTTGTTCGTCTAAATTTTAATTGCCCTTGTTGAGATTTAAACTCTAAATCCTTTCAGGTAGTAAATCCACGTTTGCTTTACATTTGCTCTCAAACGAAAGTCAAATTCGTACTAACTTTCAAGTATTGTAGATCCAGGAATCTTTCATACGTTGATTAATTATTTTTGAGAGATGCATTATACCTATTTTACAAATGCATTAATATTTATACTTTAAATAAACTATATACATGTGAAAGTTGTGTTTGTTAACAATCTTATTTCTTAGTTTTCTTGAATAACACGTTTTTGTTAAGTTTTATATTTGATATTATTTTTATCGTTATAAATTTAAATAAAAAGAAACAATGACAAAGTATTTGTATTAAAAAATTGAGATTTTTATCCTTATTTTATAATAAATTTGCATACATTTCTGTTGGAGCACAGATTAAAAAAAATAGTTAAAGAAAATTAAATTTAGGCTCTCAAAAATAAATCAAAAAATGTGTGAAATGCCAATTTGAGCCGGGCACTAGTTATACATATGCGAATTAATTTTATCGGAGGTATACATAAATGTCTTCAATATAAACATTTCGATCCTCAGTTTTGGATCCTCTTCAGTACAAAAATTCATAATAACATTCGTGTACAATAATATATGGTCAATTTCTCCTACATCCGATTTCACGATAAACTAGATAAAACAATAATTACAAGAGTGGGCTATAAACATTCTTTGTTTCTAATAAATTAATTATAATTAGTGTATTATTACTTATTTTCACTTACATGCGATTACCAAAATGCAGCGAAATAATCATTGAATTCATATGCTATCATTAGACTTGCAGGTTTACTGTATGTCATAAATGAAAATTATTTGAAACGTTTATATTGAAGACATTTATGTATATCTCCATTAAAATAAATTTACACATGTATGACTGGTGCCCGGGTCAAATTGACATTTCACATATTCTTTAAAAAAAAAGTATTTCTAATTTTAAAATAACTTCTGATCCAGATGGTGAACAGTAGCTAAATTTTTTATTATTTTTAAATGCGCTCTAAAATAAGCAGTAACGTTTTAATAACTTTTTTATTATTTTGAAAATATGTGTAACGCATCCTTAAATTATTTATGTTGATGGATTGGATTTTTTAAAGAAGATGAATTTTAACATCGTATCTCTTATTTTGCTAACATTGCATTTCATACTTTGTATCTCATAAATTTATTTATGTATTTTTGTGATGCTCCTAATAGCAATTTCTTAATTACCACAATGAGCGCAATTACTCGCGAAAGTAGCGAGTTATGGAATTGAAAACACAGCAGGTGATACTTTGTTTATCATTTCGTTGTTGCACGTATTTTCAATGTTTACGACCGCGATCCAACTGCGTGCACTATTTGCTCAATGTACCGAAACTAAATATTTGAGTCTGACGCGGAGATTGAAACGGTCAAAAGTTTTGCAGTCGTTATCGAAATTGCCGTCACGACTGCTTTGTTTATGAACGGCTCTTTGCGTTTTCGTTCTTCGTCGTTCTTTATCGAAAAAATGTAATTTCTCGAGGAGGGTCGAAACTCCGACATAAAGTTTTTATGACTATTTAATGTTAATGAGCTATGTGTTCTGGATACAGTTTATTCTGGATTCGTCTTATCTCAAGGCTGAGTTCATATTCTCTCTCTTTTAAACTTAAGATAATCATTTTTATTCTACGATAAAAATGAAAATTTTTAAGAAATGAATTATAAGAGTGACAATAAAACTGTATATTTTATAATATTTATATTTACACATTTTAATTGTTTTTATTTAGAATAACGATAATGGACTTGTCCGAAATTAATGTGAAATATTTGAAAATTGGGAACCTCAACATATTTTTATTACTAATGTAGACATGATATTGCTCTCATAAATTTTTATGAAGGCACAGATGATGGATAAAAAATTTAATTGTTTTGCATATGTAGCTATGATATTAATAATTTATTTTCAAGCTTCATTTTTTATGAATTAAAAAATATATTTTAAGTAATAAACATCGAATATATTCTTTTAATAATCAATAAACTTACAAAATTTTTTTTAATATGAATTTTTTGATGAAAAATATAGGATACAAATGTTTTTATCGTTAAAAATCTTTCTGATAATTGTCAAGTCTATTCTAAAAATTAGAAAAAGACAAGTAAGTTAAACTGAGATTAAAGTTAATCTTACGTTGGTGGAACTGCTCTAGATCTATTGATCTTTCTGCTCTCTAATAGTGTTTTTCATTGGCAAAACTAGTGCGCACTCAGTGCACATTAAAGCTGTTGAAAACGTTATAAGTTTTTTCATTTGAAATATACCTACATAAAAGATTTTTTTTTTTGGGGTCAGGTAGATGCAGATGGTAACATTCTATTGATGTAGGCCACAACCACGGGTGCCACCTTTTGACTGTTCTACTAGAAATGAACGGTTTTCTTGCCAGGATCTCACTGTTCGGAGATTCGATTGCTACATTCAAAATTCATATTTTTTCGTAGCTCTTTCTGTTAAAAAAAGTTCTTCTGCAAAAAATCGACGCACGAATTTAAAAAAAGATCATCAAAATTTAAGAGTGATTAGTCCAAGATTTATTTCATCTGCCGGAAAGCCGGAAATTCGTTCAAAAAGCCGGAGCCTCCGGCTGAAAACACAAGAGAAATAGCAACCCTATTCATAATATTTCATGTCAGTGATTCATATACTAAAACTTGAGTATTATCCGAGCGGTACAGTCGAACGATTTCTCTGAAACGTTCCGTAACTTCGTTATTTCTTTTCTAAATTCGAAGTGGAAGTTTAGAAATATATTTTTCAATAAGTGTACAAACTTTTAAGTAACACAAACAAGTCAATTTTTGTATCTATCATTCTGGTATGCTTCTTTACCAGTGTAATTGCATTTATTTTATAATTAGTTACTCTTGCTAATTGCGGAATTTATCAAGTAAGTGCGATTTTAATAAGTAATTGTGATTTATCAAGATATATTTTTACATTTCATGAGATATATAGAAGCTTAAAAGGGAAAAATACAGCTTTCGAATAGATGGAAGATCGAATAAACGCAAACTGTTTAATCGTTAAGTGGCCATAATTATCATTTGATTCCCTAATAGAATTTTTGTTCATGAAAACATTACGAGCAATAAATAGAAAATATTAATGAAATTATTGAGACTTAAAAATTATAAATATGTGTAATTTCCAAGTCATATTATTACAATGATTGTCATTATCATTTAATTTTTTATAAAAGAATTTTTTGTTTATGAAAAAAATTAATTTATTATAGATATATGGATATAACTTCCAAGTCATATATTATTCTAATAATTAAAAATTACCCACATTTATTATATATTCAGCGAGATATATTTTTTTACATTTCATGAGATAATCAAAAATAAGAATACAGCTTCTACAAACGAACAATATAAACTGCACTATTTAATTCTTAAACGGTTGTAATCGTCATAATTCTCTATAATAAAATTTGTTAGTTAGTTTCGAAAAAATCAAACAAGTGGTAAATGGAAAATGATGATGAAATTATTCTAATTAAGAAATTATCATATAGAATTCATACATACAATGAATGTGTAACTTTTAAGTCATTTGGCATTATAATGATTAAAAGCCGCCCGCATTTGTTATCGCAACCTTGAACTAATCAGTAATGATGTATTTTTAACGACGTAATTACGTATCGGCGTAGTTCGATGAG